TTATTTATTTATTTTTGGTGCTCACAGAATATTCCCTCCACCCCATACGTTTTACGTTATTTTTTTTGTTTTCAACTGATAGCACCCGAGTCGGTAGCGTTTTCTTTGAATTGATGCCAACGTCTCAAAAATAATTTATTCAGGTAAATAATTTATTTTATTATTTTATTATTTTTTAATTTAATATTTGTCTTTACAAGAATATATTTATTAAGATAAAGAGGTTATATTTTTTTATTGGAATATTTCCACATATTTTACAATAGTAAAATATTGTCATTACTTTAAAATTTTCATCCTCATAATTTTTTTTATCATCCTAAAAGTCTTTAATCATTAGAGTATTTATGTATTTTATACTTTTATTTTAATTATGTGAGACTTGATTTGTATCTTAATAATTTTTTCTTACATACTAGATAGAGTATTAAGAAGAATAAGTGGTGTCACATTTCAATAAAAAAAACTTTTGAACTTGTTCCGATACTAGGATTTCATCTAGAAAAAAATTAATTGTAGTCTAAGTTAAGAATGTTTAAAGAGTGTAATCTAGTGTATCTTAATTCTATAATTGAATTATATATACATACATTCGTATATCATGATTCTGAGATTTTTGGAAACAAACCCGAAAAATCTCGGAAGTATTTATTGTGTATTTTGGTGACCAATTTGTAGATTTACGATGATGATTCATATCTTTTATATCATGAGATTGGCTCAAAATCGACAAGCTTACTAACCCACTCGACCAGCCTACTGTCATGTGAGATCGGCGCAGTTAAGAATGGAACCTTTAATTTGGTTAAGTCAATAGGTAGTCAACAACCTAGACCACCGAAGAGCATGTAAAATTAGAACATTTCAAAAGGTCTCGATTGATAAAAAACCAACTACAGGTTGGATTCAAGTGGTAACTACTAGCGGAATTTGGCAAGCCCATTAGACTTTTGAGCACAAGGTGCAAAAAGACTAGAAAATAGGTGAGTACAATCGAAATTCAACCTTTATGGTGTGTTTTGATGAAGAATTTTACAAATTCAAGGAATTTTAAATTCTTGGTATTTGAATTACTTTGATTTCAATTTCTATCATTCTTAAAATATTTTATTTGGATGAGTCAATTCAAATTTTTTAAATTTTAAATTGTTAGGTTGAATATGATAATTTGATTTCACCATAATAAAATTGATTTTAAAAACATATTTATATGTTGAGATTTTAAAATTAAATTTTATAAAAATAAATATTAATCCATTTTTAAATATTTAAAAATTTTAAAAATTAATATTAGATAATATTTAATAATTTTAAAAATATTTTTGAATATCTAATAATTAAAAGAATGAAGAGATAAGATAAAATATATAGGTGAAATAAGAAAACAAATATGAGGAATTTCAAATTCTCCCATTTTTGGGAGAATTTGAAATTCTACTACTTGAAGGAATTTCACAAATGCTTGAATATCAAATTCTTTGTAAATTCCTCATCCAAACAAAGCATTTCACCTCAAAGAATTTAAAATTCTTCAAATAAATGAATTACCCTATATAAATTCCCCATCCAAACATATCATTAAGAAATGGATCATGATATATATACCTCCTTTTATTTATTTATTTATTTATAAATACACTCCCTTTTAGAAAAAAATAATTAAATTCTTAAAATATCCTTAATTTTTATTATTTTTAATTCTTTAATTTTATACTCATAACATTTAATTTAACACTTTTTTTTACATATCTCTTTTCCTTATTTTTACATACACTCTGTTAATTTTTCTTTATCCTCACCTATTTTGATAGGTAATTTTAATTTTTTTAGTTTTACATTATTCTTTTTTCCTTCTTCTTTCAGTTTTCTCACTGATTTCATTATCTGCATAGTATTTTAGAATAGTGAAAATGTCTTTTACATAACGTTAAACTTAATGTTAAGGTTTTTGGAGGGGTGAAAGGAAAGGAAATGTTGGAAGAAAAAAATGTGTCTAGTTTGATAGAAACTGTCGAGGAAACTACACGTACCTACAATGTTGTCGCTTACCAATTCTATGATTTTGGTGCATGTGAAAAAGTGAAAGAGGTGAGAAAATAAGAGTAATATAAAAATCGAGAGAACTAAAATTACCCACTGAAATAAGTGAGGAATTAGATAAAGATAAGATGATGTATGTGAAAACTAGAAAAGAGAAGGAAAGAGGTGTGTGAAAAAAAATAATAAATTAAAAGTTAGAGATCTAAAATTAAAAATTTAAAGAATAAAAAAATTATGGATATTTTAAAAAAAATTAAAAATAAAATAGGTGTACTTTGATAAGTGTCTAATTAGTTTGATGAAATTTAAATTTGAGACAATTATTTAGCACACTTTTTGTATATATATTGATATAATTTTGGCAAATACATTAAGAATCAAAGAGGGGCTCTTAATTTATATTATTACATGGAGTGATGAGTTTTTGATCAGATTTTCCTCTTATTTTGTAGTTTTTGAAATCTGGAGGCAAACGGCTGAGCGCCTTGAAATGGCTGAGCGCTTTCAAGCCAAAGAGCTCAACAAATGCAGCAAAGGAGAGGCGCTCAGCCACTCTAAGGCACTAAGCGGTTTTGGCCCTAGAAGAAGGAGTGTTCTCTGCCTCCTAGGCGCTCAACGGATATGAAGCGCCCAGCCCCTTGTGCTTGCTTAACAATGAAGAATCTCTCAGGCGCTCAGCAGAATTGAACGGCTCAGCCCTTCAGATTACTACATAGTGAAGAATTCTTCAAACCGCTCAGCCGTTTCAAGGCGTTGAGCGGATTCTTCTCTTTCCTGCCTACTCTGTTTTAATTCTAGCACTTATAAAAGGGCAGAGGAGAGAGAAAAGGGGAAATCACAATCTGTACGAAGAGAAGAACAGAGAGGAACCGGGAACAGAGCACTTTGGAGCTCGTGGGAACGCGATTCTTCAGAGGATCTCTTTCTTCTACCTTTCATCTTGTTGTTTTGTGATTTCTTGTACCATGGAGAGCTAAAGCTCTAGGTTTGGGATTAATGTAGTCATCAAACTCCTTTGTATTCCTCTTTGATTCATATATATATATATATCATCTATTACTCTATGTCAGTGATTTGTTTATGTTCTTAATGCTTTGATGAACTGATCATTTATCTCTAATTTTGAGTTTAGAATTTAGTTGGAAAACGTTTTCTAACTCTAGACTTGGAACGAATCACCTATTAGTTTTGAGAGCCAGGGATGGTCTTGGAATTAATAGTTGCAACAAGTTTTGACTCTTAATGCGGGATATTTAACTGAATGAAGTGAGGAATCATTCATTGAGTCAAATATCTTAGAATTTCTTATGGCAAGGGATTGGGTCTGAATGAATTTAGAGAACTCAATGGCAATGAGTAATGGAATCTTTATAAAGAATTAATAGGAATGCATAGGAGGGAGATTGATGAAATCTAATCCCAACTGTTTTCCATATCTGTTTTTCCACAAATTAATTTATCTTTTGGTTACTTAAGTTTGATCAATCATCCATATAAAAATTGAATATGTGTAATTTCCCAAGTTTTACATTCATAAGCATCAATTAGTATAATAGAAATCATAGCTTATCTCACAAGTCCCTGAGGTTCGACAACCTTTTAATCATACTACAGAGACTTGGGTGCGCTTGCCTAAAAGAAACCAACAAGTTTCTTGGCGCCGTTGCCGGGGACTTGTGTCAAGATAGATTGTGATTTCTATTGTTCTAGTTGTAGCTTGTTGTATATATTTTTTTGTTTCTTTTTTTTATAAATATATTCTTTATCTGGTTGTTCTAACTTTTCTATTAAAGGAAGCTTGAACAGGAAAGAGAGGAACAGGAGGGTACTTCCACCTCAGTTTCAGCTCAACACTCTATTCCTGAACCAATGGCTGAAGAAGGACCGGGTGGTGGTGATATACCACCTCATCATCCTCCAAGGAGACTCCTAGGAGAATATAATCATCACTTGGGTCCTAGGCACTTCTCCAGTATAACCAGGCCAACCAAGGGGGTGGAGATGAAACCAGTATTACTATCTCTCATAACTGCCAATCAATTTGCAGGGATGGACCATGAAGAACCCTACACACACCTATCTTCTTTCTATGAGCTTATTGGCACTATGGGCGTTCTTGGAGAAGATGAAGAAGCGGTATATCTGCGATTATTTCCTTTCTCTTTGACAGGTAAGGCCAAGACATGGCTGCAGGCCCACCCAAATCAGAGTTTGACCAGATGGGAGGATGTAGAGCGGAAGTTCTTGGCAAGATTCTTTCCTCCTTCCAGATATATAAGTGCTAAATCAGCAATTGCAACATTCTCTCAAGGTGCTGATGAACCTTTGTGTGAAGCTTGGGAGAGATATAAATCTTTGTTGAGGAAATGCCCAAATCATGGGTTTGATGATGTTGCACAGCTCAACATGTTCTGTAATGGGTTAAGGCCACAAACAAAGATGTTATTGGATGCTTCTGCAGGTGGTTCTATGATGATGAAGGATTCTGAGGAAGCAACCACTATTATTGATGCTTTGGCAGCCAGTGACTACCAAGCTCGCCATGATAGGAGCCAACCCACAGGAAGGGGAATTCTGGAACTGGATACTCAAAATGCAATTCTAGCTCAGAATAAGCTTCTTTCTCAGCAGATGGACGGGTTAAAGAAGCAGATGTCCAAGCTTCAAGTAGGATCATCTTCACGCCCTCAGCAGGTAATGAGATGTGATTTTTGTGCAAGTGATCATCCAATTATGGACATTGCACCATCTCTAAACCAGACCAGGAAGAATAAGTGAATTATATGAATAATCCAGGAAGGCAAGGGAATTTCTCTGGTAATTACAATCAGAATCAAGGCTTGAGAAATAATCAAAATCAGTATTCTGGTTGGAAGCAAGAAGCAGGGCCATCACAAAGGCAACCTCCACAAAATCCATATCAGAATCAACCTTCTTATCAACCAAACAAGTTATCAAAAATGGAGGAAGCTCTTACACAGTTTATCCAGGTTTCCACAACCAATCAGAAAAATACTGAAGCTTCTATCAGAAATCTGGAAGTACAAATAGGGCAGTTTGCTAAGCAATTGGCAGAGCAACAAAGCAATAATTTTTCAGCCAATACACAGGTCAATCCTAAAGAATATTGTCAATCAATTACAACCAGGAGAGGCCCTGTGATAGGAAATGAGATAGGTGATAATTTGAGAGAAAATAAAGATGGAGTGGATAAAGATAAGAGTGAATTTGAGCCTGAAAGTGAGAAAGAGGTGGAGTTGAATAAAGAGGCAGGAAAATTAGAAAATGATAAAAAAAAAAGAGTGACAAAAATGAAAGGAAAAATGGAGTTGTGAGGGAGGAGAGTAAGAAAAAAGGGAAAGAAGTTGCTAGGCCTCCTCCTGTGAAGAATCTACCATATCCACATGCTCCATCAAAAAAAGACAAGGAACGCCAGTTTGCAAGGTTCCTTGATATAATCAAGAGGTTACAAATCAACATACCCTTTGCAGAGGCCTTGGAACAGATGCCATCTTATGCAAGATTTATGAAGGAGCTTCTGACAAAGAAGAGAAAATTGAGTGAGGATGGAACAGTGGAGTTAGAGGCAGGTTGCAGTGCTATAATTCAGAAGTCACTTGCACAAAAATCTAGAGACCCAGGGAGTTTCACTTTGCCAGTCACCATTGGTAATCTTTCCGTGGGCAAGGCATTATTGGATTTAGGGTCTAGTATTAACCTTATGCCCTTATCTATGTTACAGAGGATAGGAGATGTGGAGGTGAGACCTACCAGGATGACTCTGCAGCTAGCTAACAAATCTATTAAGTATCCTCATGGTATTGTTGAAGATCTCTTGGTTAAGGTTGATAAATTTTGGTTTCCAGTTGATTTTGTTGTCATGGACACATGGAAGAGGATTCTGAGGTTCCTCTCATTCTGGTTTGGCCATTCATGAAGACAGCTAAGGTCATTATAGTTGTTGATGATGGCAAACTCAAGGTCAGGGTGCATGGTGATGAGGTGAATTTTAATATTTTTGAAGCTATGAAACACCTAAATGACAAGAAAGATTGCTTTAGAGTGGATATGATGGATGAAATGTGTTTGGAAGCTGAAAGAAAATCTTCTTTAGCCACGTCAGTAGAGAAGGCATTAAATTTTGATATGAAAGCTGCTAGTGAAAAGAGGAAACCTCAATTACATGAACTTGAAGAAATGCGTTTGCAGACCTATGAATCCTAAAAAATTTACAAGAGTAAGGTGAAGTCCTACCATGACAAGAAAATTGTGCAGAGAAACTTTCAACCAGGCCAACAAGTATTATTGTTCAATTCCAGGCTGAGATTATTTCCTGGAAAGCTCAAGTCCAAATGGTCAGGTCCTTTTGTGATCAAATCATTCAAACCTTATGGGGCAATGGAGTTGGAAGAACCAAATTCTGGAAGATCTTGGATGGTTAATGGTCAGAGAATATCTGGGTGGTGAGGTTGAGAAACTTACCACTGTCATTCATCTCAATGATCCATGACTGAGTGAAGTGTCAAGCTAATGACAATAAAGAAGTGCTTACTAGGAGGCACCCCAGCCATTTTGGTTTGAATTCTCATTTTCATTTTAGTTTAATCCTTTACATATGTAGTTATACTTTTGAAGAGTTGAGTTTGTGATTTGATGTTTTGATGGTGCATTCTATCAAATGTTTTGTTCCTTTAACATTCTCCTATCTTGTGTTATGATTTTTATAATTTATTGAAGGTCACTAGAAGTGGGAGTGTGAAAGGAGAACAAAATGTGCTTCTTCCAGGTAAGTTTACAAAACTGACAAAACGGCTCAGCCATTAAAAATGGCTCAGCCGTTTGGCTGCAGTATCTCATTTTTAGCTAAATTTTCCTCCCAGGGGGAAAATGGCTTAGCCATTTTTAAAGGCTCAGCCCCTCATATCAGTAAAACATTTTGGTTGAGAATTCTGCATCAAATGGCTGAGCGTTTTCAAAGCGCTTAGCGCTTTTCTTTAAATTGCTCACTGCACCCAAACGGCTGAGCGCCTAGAAAGGGCTCAGCGCCTCAAAATTTTTTTTTTTGAGAAAGACCAATCCAAGAACAGAAAAGAAGTTGTCCATTTATTTGTCTTTAATTCCCAACACTTTCAAACTTGGTCTTCTCATTTTCTCTCGCTTTCTTCTTTTCCACACACACCATCATTCTCTTTGATTCAAGGTAAGTTTCAAGCTCTCTCTGTTGATTTCTGTTGGGCCTTCAGGCAAGGATCTGCTTAGTGTTTGATGTGTTTTGTGTCCTCTTGTGGTGATGACAAAATTCTTTTTGGGAATCAAATTGATAATCTTTCTAGAATGAGAATTTTCATGGTTCAAGTTTTCAATAAGCATTGTTTGCTAATATGGAAATCTACATTGTTGCACAAGTGGTTGTACATTTTTGACTTTAAGTATGTGCTTCAAGTGTGTCCAAGTGAAATTGAAATGAGTCTGAAGTTGTTGATGTCTAGGGCACTTAACCAAACCGTGTGAGTGAGTGGGCCAAACAGTAAAATTCAATCTTTGAGAGTCATCACTGATTCATGCGATCAGTTTTGTTTGAGTCTCCCATGAGTTACAGTTAAGCTATGCATGGAATTTACTAAGGCAGTTGTTTTACTTAGCCAGTAGCCAAAAAGCCAACCCATGAATTACATTGACCATTGATCAGCAAATTAGACCCTAAACAGAACCCCTAAGCTTACAAAGAAAAACCATGATTGTCCTTGAGCCTTGATGGTAAGAGACATTCTCATGAAACAAGTGGGTTTGAACCAAGTTGGGGGTAAAATGTGTGTAGTATTCATGTGGTTAGAATTGTACAGGCAAAGTGTTGTATTTATGTATATATATTACTCTAAATAAAAAAAATTAGAAGCTAATTTTGTAATTAAGGTTCCTTGTTACCATTTCATCAATTTGTGGATATTCTGAAAGAGAAGGAACCAGTAAATTCAATCAAAAGAGGGATGAGAGATAAAAAGTCAAGAGAGTTCAAGCTGGTGCAAGAATTTGGCATCAACCCATATGAGTGAGAATGTCTCTTGTCAAATAGGCCTTTAGATTCCCAAAGAAAAACCAAATCTCTAATAGTCAGGCCACATTACAACCCTCTTTAAGTCCTTAGTGATTCCTGTTTAGTTCTAACAATAGACTTGTGGGGGATGAATAACAAAGCAGACTTAGCAGGTTTTGGTGCATGAAAAGAGAGAAACACTCACCCTTCACAACATATCATTGAGAGATACACAATTGTGAGGAAAATTTTAGTGCCTTTGATTGAAAGCAATGGAAGATGAATGGATATTTCCCTTGAGTATGCTTGATGTTCATGATTTTTGTTATTATGTGGGCACCATTTGTAGTAACATGTATTCATTGGATTTTGCAAACAAGTTTTCATTGGACTCCTTGAAATCATGTAAGTGCATTAACATATATTTTTTGAGTGAAACTTATAGTGTTTCACTCGGTATATAAGTTAGTTATATTATTCTCTCAATTAAGATCTTTTGTTTGAGGACAAACAAATTTCTAAGTTAGGGGTAGCTTGATAAGTATCTAATTAGTTTGATGAAATTTAAATTTGAGACACTTATCTAGCACACTTTTTGTATATATATTGATATAATTTTGGCAAATACATTAAGAATCAAATAGGGGCTCTTAATTTACATTATTACATGGAGTGATGAGTTTTTTATCAGATTTTCCTCTTATTTTGTAGTTTTTGAAATCTGGAGGCAAACGGCTGAGCGCTTTCAAGCCAGAGAGCTCAACAAATGCAGCAAAGGAGAGGCGCTCAGCCACTCTAAGGCGCTGAGCGGTTTTGGCCCTGGAAGAAGGAGTGCTCTCTGCCTCCTAGGCGCTCAGCGGATTTGAACGGCTCAGCCCTTCAGATTACTTCATAGTGAAGAATTCTTCAAACCGTTCAGCCGTTTCAAGGCGTTGAGCAGATTCTTCTTTTTCCTGCCTACTCTGTTTTAATTCTAGCACTTATAAAAGGGCAGAGGAGAGAGAAAATGGGCAATCATAATCTGTACGAAGAGAAGAACAGAGAAGAACCAGGAACAGAGCACTTTGGAGCTCGTGGGGACGCGATTCTTCAGAGGATCTCTTTCTTCTACCTTTCATCTTGTTGTTTTGTGATTTCTTGTACCATGGAGAGCTAAAGCTCTAGGTTTGGGATTAATGTAGTCATCAAACTCCTTTGTATTCCTCTTTGATTCATATATATATATATATCATCTATTACTCTATGTCAGTGATTTGTTTATGTTCTTAATGCTTTGATGAACTGATCATTTATCTCTGATTTTGAGTTTAGAATTTAGTTGGAAAACTTTTTCTAACTCTAGACTTGGAACGAATCACCTATTAGTTTTGAGAGCCAGGGATGGTCTTGAAATTAATAGTTGCAACAAGTTCTGACTCTTAATGCGGGATATTTAACTGAATGAAGTGAGGAATCATTCATTGAGTCAAATATCTTAGAATTTCTTATGGCAAGGGATTGGGTCTGAATGAATTTAGAGAACTCAATGGCAATGAGTAATGAAATCTTTAGAAAGAATCAATAGGAATGTATAGGAGGGAGATTGATGAAATCTAATCCCAACTATTTTCCATATCTGTTTTTCCACAAATTAATTTATCTTTTGGTTACTTAAGTTTGATCAATCATGTAACGACCCGACTGGTCACTACGCCCGGCATAGCACACTAGAAACACCAGACAGATAGAACAAGTATATGAATATAGGATCTAGAATATATAGATATACAAGGTTCCAATCTGACTAGAGTTAAAGTGTACTAAAGAAAAATACAACCAAATGCTACTATCCCACGTAGCCACAAGCAAAACAACACATCGCCAAGCAAAACAGCTGCAAGGTCCACCAACCTCACCACAAGACGCACCTCTATTCCTGCCCTGCTCCCATACATAGTATGATCATCGCAGTCCAAAAACATGGAAAACAACAAAAGGGTAAGCTAGTGAAATTAAAATTCATCATACAATTATATAATTGTCAATATAAATAACAACAGATACAGTTATCAGCACACTTGTACAGCTTATACCACTCAACAATATCAGCACCGCAATGCGGCAATATCAGCACTGCTTAGCAGCAACAACAGCACCACTCTAGTGGCTATAACGGCACCGCAAAGCGGCAACAACAGCACCACTCTAGTGGCTATAACGGCACCGACTTAGCGGCAACAACAGCACCGCCTTAGCGGTTAGAATCAGCACCACATGTGTGGCTAACAACAGCACCGACTTAGCGGCTATAATATCACCCAACCCAGCATATCTCCACACAGTACAGCACAGCACTGCACAGCAATTCAACAAAATTATTACTTTCTACAATTCAGCCCAACGGTCTATAAAGCCGCTATACTATATAATTTCTCTTATTAATCCATTGATTCCAGCTCAACAATACCCCTCTAATACAACTAACATATTTATCTCAGCTTAATCCCCTAATCATCACAACATATTCATCAAATTTGCTTGGTTCAGCATATCACATCATTGATTAACAATTTCGGCACAACTCAACAGTCAATGTCCTATAGATCATCATTTCCTTGCGCGCCCGGCGCACTCGAGGTTGCGCCCAGCGCGACTCAACCCGAGAGCACCAAGGCTCTCCCGCGCCTGGCGCAATTCCAAATTGCGCCTAGCGCCTGTCTGGCAGAGACTCAAGGAGTCTCGTGCGCCCAGCGGAGCCTAACCCGCGCCCAGCGTGGGGAAGGCAGAGACCTACCAGGGTCTCGCGCCCAGCGCAATTCACAATTGCGCCCGGCGTGCCCTTGGCAGAGACTCCCAAGGAGCCTCCGCGCCCAGCGAGTCCAAAAGTGCGCCTAGCGCAGTCCAAGTATCCCAAAAACATGTTACTCTTGATATCGCGCCCAGCGCAGCTCGAGTCACGCCCGGCGCGGGCCAACCAGAGACCCCCATTTGCAAGCTCGCCCAGCGCACACAGCCTTGCGCCCGGCGGGCTTGCCTAAACAGAGTCTCCTGGTGGTCACGCGCCCGGCGCGACGAACAGCGCTCAGCGCGAACTCATCAGTAACTCTCCCAAGTTCGAAAAATTTCCAAAACCTGCAAAATTTCACAGAAAACTCACATGCAAACGGTTCAAAGTGCCACATTTTCATCAAGGAGCTCGAAAGTACCAGCT